GCGTCTTATATGCCGGAGCGTCTTATATGCCGAAAAATACGGTAAAAGTTCTAGGGGTACATTATTTTTTATGCCCACTCTCTGCAATGCTAGAAATTTGTGGACTGAAGGGAAATTTCATTCAAAGTTCTTATGTGGGGGAGGCAATGCCTTCATTCTGGCTGCCACTGGTAGCTATGTCCTCCCTTCCAGAGGCTTTGCTTTGCAACTGGATCCGTGCCAGTTTAGCTAAGTGAGGAATCCGTTCAGTGCCTTTTGTTCCCAAGGAGGGGCTTTCTTCAGACTGGTCAAAAGATATGATGCTATAAAATTACTACACTTGACCCGGCACATTTCAGCAGCTCTATCAAAGTGGTTAGGATGCCTTAGTATGCCTGGCTATAAAGGAAAGGGGTCTGCTAAGCCTGAAAAACCCCATCCCATGTCCACCCTTCACCAGCTCAGCAGATCAAATAATGGAATATGCCAATAACTGTCCCCTCCATGCATAGTACACTTTGGCTAATAGTTTGGGGCCAGCTCCACCATTAGGCAGAATGGGCCAGCCATCTCAGAGAGCAGATTTGGGGTGTTATGAAAAGTTACCACATCTTATTGCTTTGTTTTTGTTTTTACTGCTGGGGGATTCCATGCCTCCTGTGCTGATGTAACATAGATGAATGTATGGTGCTCTCCCACAGGCATCAAAATGCCTTGAGTTAGCCATATAGTAGGGGCACCATGGGGCAGAGTCTTGGGGGTTAGCCATGGTGTCCTTTAAGTTGCTTGTGGCACCACTCTGAGTCAAGCTGAAGGATCTATTCTGTTGTCCTGTTTCCATGTTTTTGGGGAGAGGCAGGCTTGGGATAAGATGGACACCTCTTTCTAAGCCTGTTCTCACTTCCACAGTGTTTTCACTATTGCTATTGCTCAGTCTACACCACTTTGCATTATCCCAGTATCTGGGAAAAGACATTGGATGTCTAAAACTAATAATCAAAGACAACAATCATCTTGTCACTATTTTGTTTCAAAAAGCCATTTAAGGGTTTCCAATTCCAAGTGGAATATTCTGCCTTGGAGAGTGGTGGAGTTTCCTTCTTTGGGTTTTTTTTTAAAAAGAGGTTGGATGGCCATCCTTTGGGAGTGCTTTGATTGTGAGTTCCTGCATGGCAGGGGGTTGGACTGGATGGCCCTTGGTCTCTTTCAACACTATGATTCAATGATTCTATGAAAAAGGACGTTAGTGACCTTCCCCTAATCAAAATAGACAATTTATCCATCTCAGCAGAGAATCCTGACTTCCATAACAACCACAATAATCCTCAAACTGGAATCCTCAAACACGGCAACTTTACATATACCTAGCTACATAGCACAGGCTCTAAGAAATCGCATTAATGAATTGCAAAAATTCATAGCAGGACACCAGCAAGAGTGTCCTGATACACATTGGGCTTTCCCAATGTGCATCGAGACTCCTTATGGTCCACTATAGGACCAATACACAACAGAATTAATTCACATTAGGACTGATGCACATTGGTTCCATTGTGCATTGGTCACTTTGCTGGGTCCCCTACATAATGCAACAGTTGCCTTTTACTGGATATGGACCTTACAAAACTGCCCAATTCTAATTCCTGCAGATATAATTCCATTTATGAAGACGTAACTCCCCAACAAGATTCTGGCCAATGATTTATGTAGGTGTAAGTTGGAGCATAAGTCATTGACAGGATGCCAGCCAGCACCTATATATCTATGTCAGCCTAGAAAGGGCTAGCAGATGTTACCAGGTATGCATTGAAAGCACATGTATGATGCACCTAATGTTCTGTGTATTCACACTTCTTTTGGATCATTTATTCTTGGAAGCAACACAACTTAGGCTGCATCTGCACTGAGGAAATAGTGAAGTTTGACACTGTTTTAGCTGCTATGGCTCAATGTGATGGGATTCTGGGGTTTGTAGTTTTGTGAGACACATAGCCTTCTCTGTCACAGAGCTGGGGTGCCACAACAAACTGCAGATCCCAGAATGCCATAGCACTGGTGGAAATTAAAGAGGTGTCAAACTGCATTACTTCCACAGTGTAGATGCAGCCTTAGACAGATTATTACCAGGAATCCACAACCACACAAGAATAATACAGAAACAAGGGCAGTTTTATCAGTCACTCGAGAAACAAAATGTACACAATAACTGTATTAGACAGCAGCAAATCTTACGGTAAACTTTCACAAATGACAAACCATAAATAGATTCCACAGATAGCTAGCTAATGAAACCCATTTGCTTCAAAATGGGGAAATATTAACCCAAAGAAGCAGACTTGCAATGCCGAGAGAGTTTTAAGACCCAGGTAGCTCTATTTTAGAAGAAGGAGCTGGCAAAACCACCACTGGGTATTTCTTGCCAAAGAAAACCCCATGAAATTCATGGGTGGTGATAATAATAATAATAATAATAATAATAATTTCTATTCCACCTTTTCCCAATGGGAATGAAAGCGGATTACAACAGGTATATAAAACATATAGCAAGCAACTCCTAAGGGGGGGGGGCATGGGCTGACATTTCTCTGAATTTTTATTCAAAGAAAATTCTGAAAAGTAATCCTTTGGGTGTGGGTTGGGATGAGGGAGCAACTCCACAATAGATTTCACAGGAATATGCCACCTGAAAAAAATATATTAGCTTCTCTCTAGATTATAAACCAGAAGTTGGAAGAGTTTATAGATTTGGACTATACAGTGGGCCCTTAGTA